CCCCAAAACCCCAAAACCCCAAAACCCCTAGTAGATATATGTCGGTTGAGAATAAGATTTTCGACAAATTACATATCATCTGTATTCTTGGAGATGTCTGATTTGTTGATAAGAGTTGCCTTCTCTAACAATGTATTTTTACCCTTCTCAGGCTCTGCCTTCTGTCTGGGTGGGAACAACACAAGTCTTTCCAGTTGTAAGATTGGTGACTCAATTACCAAAGATATTGGGACACTGATGAGCACTGTAACCAAGAATGTTGCCAATGAATAAAAGATCTGAGATGGACCATCAAAGTATAATGAGCCTTTAGATTGCATAAAGAACCATCCAAGTACATTTATATGAACTAAGTATGACATAAAGGTAACTTTAGCCCAGGGTGCCCATAGTTTGCCTCCAAATATATTCTTGATCAGAGTGAGTCTTCCGACAAACATTGGAGCTAGAAAGAATCCAAGAGCAGCAACGAAAGTAGATCTATGGAAACCATTGAAGAAGTCACTAGGGATCTGGCTGATCTTCCTCTCCTCTGGTTCCAATAACTCAACACTAGGGAACAGAATAAAGAAGAGCATGAGTGCAGAAGAAAGTACAAATGCTGCAACACACAATGGAGTGTTGGCCTTGAACAAGTTATAGAATCTGGCCCCGACGGAATACCGATAAGTGGGATCTGTTCTCGATTTGTTCCATTCGAAGTATAGAACTCCGAAAAGCACTCCAACACTGTATGCTCCAGTCCTTGTGTACGGATAGTTGTACAGCTCCTGAATATAGAGTACTGCAGGGTCCTTCAGAATTGTAATCGTGTGTCCTCTTATATGAGAAAAAGTAAATGGCAACACAATTCCGGCAATATTGAAAAATGTGATCAAGGCGTATCCAATTAGTTTGGAATTCAAATAAGCCAAGACAATGAATGGGACAAACAAGAAGTAAGTCATTTCGTTTGACAGATACCAAAGTTGTCCAAAACAGTTGCCTTTAGTATACCATGAAGAAATAAATAATATTGGCTGCCACCAGCCACGTTGACAGTTTTCAATGGCATCATCTGTGTATGGCTTCCAGAGAGGTCCTGACCCTAGGAACTGGAAGAATGTGAAGAACATCGCATATAACAGCAGCAAAGTTGGGACTACCCTGATTAGTCTATGGAGATACACCATTGGAATATTGAAGAACCTTTTACCATGAAACTTGCCAATCATTAAATACGTGGCTAGGAAAGCAGAGACGAAGAAGAAGACATCTACTGAATAAAACCCGATGCCAATAATGATAGCCCACCACGAGTTGACAAATCCTTGAACGCCGACAATATTAATAACTCCTCCTGCAATCATTAATGCATTAGTATGGCCTAAAATTACAAGATACATACTGATAACTCTAATTCCATTCAGAGCTGATAAGTAATCATCTTTTCTTTGAGGGGTATAGAACATCTTCTTCAAATTTCTTGAAGGAGAAAATGCTAAGAAGAGCTTCCCAGGTATAGATTTTGATGCAACAAGCATCTTGTCTTTGTTAGCGTCTGAGAGAGGCTCATCAATGTGGGGAGCTTGGCCCATGAAAGATGTGTATTCTACAAAGAGCCCGAGAATGCATAGAACTCCGATGAGTCCAAAACCGACAAATCCAACAATGTGTCCTCCTGACACAGTGACAGGGTTTTTGCTTGGAATATATACTCCTCCTACAGCTTCCTCAGGTAACTGAAGTTGTCTAGCAAGAGCAGTCATAGAATCTGCCAGGATCTGTAAATCATCTTCCTCTCACACATCAGGGATTCACAACCCAATAATTATCGGATTTCCTACAATTCCAAGAATCGCATACTGAGTCCCTGAATTCAGATCACAAGCATCAGGATCACCTCTATCATTTATAAACTTCCCTGTCGCCATGACCATCGTCAATACAGACTCAGAACTCCCCAATAACGTCTCCATACACCCCCTCTCCTGTGCTATTACCCCTACACAATCAGCCCCATTCACCATCAAAACTCACCTCTCGCCAGCATCATTACCAAAATGGCTACTACAAATCCTTTAAAACTAATCTTTTCCATAATTACTTGTAAGCTCAGTTCAAACTTTAAATTCTTGCTAGGGGTTTTGGGGTTTTGGGGTTTTGGGGTTTTGGGG